CCCTGAGTCTACATCAGGGGTCCCCAACAGGCGGACCGGATCCGGACCCAGGCCCTAAATCCGATAGATAATTCGGAATTATACATATTCGGCACTGAGTTTATACTTTAACCGGCGCGTCTTATCCAGCCGTTACGGCACTTGTTTCGTGGTGCAGGAAACACACCGACCAATGCATTGTAAATCACATCAGGTGATGCAGCTCAATACGAGTATTCTGACAAGTTTCCTGACTCGAGCGAGGTTTACACACACGTGACACACGGAGGAGAGACGAGGCAATAGAAAGAAGAGCAGGGAAACTGCGCTGATAGAAGAAGATATCTCGCATGACGTTCTCCAAAAAGAGAAACGTGTTCAGAGAGAATATAATTTATAAGCAAGAATGAACAGAATCTTATGTTAATTATTCCCACAGGCAGTTAAATCCTCTGCCCCTGTCAAGCGCTTTTCCCTGCGAACGCGAACGGCTAATCATGATTTTCAGACCCCCGCCCTCTGTAAACTATCAATGGATGAATCCAAAAACAGAAAAGTCACGGAGGAAAATAGAGTTTAACTCTGCGTGGATGTCTTCATTTGCTTTCACTGCCAACGATGCCGACTTACCTCTATGCTTCCAGAACAAGCACACAGCATGTGCTGAAAAGTGTCACGCTGGAGATGATTCCTCAGCTGCTGCAGCAAACTCTCTTCATAAGAGTTTGCTATTGTTATATCAGGTAAAATTGCAATAAAATGTCAAGAATTGTCTTTATTCTTGTTCTATATTTTCATAAATACAACAAACTATAATTTTTGTATTTATAATATAACTATATATAACACTTTATAAGCTGTGATATCAAATAGCTTTTGCGGCTCCAGACACATTTTATTTGGTTTTATTTGAAGCCTTCAAAAATAAAGCGACACTTAGCAACGAAACATCCAACGCTCGTGGGAAAGCCTGTTGGGCTTCTTGTTGTGTATGCAGGTTTACATACACATGATAAATAAATGTCTTTGTGATCATCACATTGTAGCATCTCATTTATTTGACAAGGGTTTTGCTTGTTAAACTGTAAGTGGATTTAATATAGTTATTGAATACAAATCAAACCAAGAGTGAGATCAATTAGTTAAACTAATACAGTGTTAATATTTGAATGGGCCCCGGGACACTTTGTACTTGAAAAGTTGGGCCCCGAGGTCAAAAAGGTTAAGAACCCCTGTTCTAGATCTTCAACCTGCCCCTACTGTCATCAACACCCCCACCAGTGTCAACTCTCCAAAATCTTTACTTTGCACAATTTAATAAATGTATTTGTTCACTGTAAATGAAGTTTCTCCTGATTGAACAACCTGTGCCTACCTGTATAATTGTGTCAATTATCTCCTGTTTGTTTCAGTTCTCATATTTGTTATGATTTATGTTATGTATGTTATTTAATTTCAAACTAATTTGCAATCATAAGAAGGTTGGTCTCGAAAATATAGTAGAGTAAAATCTTTTAGGTGTGTTTTCTAGACTTACACGGGTTATGAAAAAAAGTAGGAAAATAATCCTTGTGTTGATTTTGGAAGTTTTACCAAGCTTCAAGATCTGAGAGACAATCATGATTTAAGAGTCTGCTTTTGAACAGCAACCTCATGGCTTCCGTGTAGTAGAACTCAACCTATCCACATACATTTAATTAAACGTTGGAACACCTCACCCCTACTGCAATGAGCTCGGTTCCATTGTGCTCCGGCAGCCCCGGTGTCGTAGCCGGGTGGTGTGGGAAGTAAGGGTTGCCTGGGCCGGTACAAAGGAGGTAGAGGACAATGATGATGTTGAAGGGAAACGCTGCGACAGGCAAGTCCCAGCGGTCCAACACCGGGGAGAGACCACTGAAGAGAAAGGCACTGGAGATAGGGACGGGGGGTGAGAGAGCGGGGGGTGGGAGAGCGGGGGTGCTGATCATTTTTAATGAAATAGACATGGTTCACAAGCTTTTTAGAGACACATGTTCACACTCACACTAAATGGCTTCACTGTGGCATCCATTTCTCTCATACTGTACGTTGTAAGTGGAGGCACACTGATGGTGTGGTGGGAGGAGGGCCATTGGCGTATTTCATTATTAGTATTCAGAAAAATTCATAGTATAGCATGTTGAATAAAGTCATAAAAGTCATAGTATAGCATGTCAAATTAAGTCATGAATAAGTCATAGTCAAACAAATTCAGTTTATAACAAGGAACACAATTGAAATGTAGGTAACTTTGTATCTGAAATGCACATTTGCACTTCCTTAACGACTTTGACCCTTATCCATTAAAATGGCACCTTTGTGATATAGCTTTGTGGCAAAAAAATGATGTCATTTTGGTTGCCATTTGCAGGGGTAGGATTTTCCAGAACTAACACACTAGTATGAGGTTATGGTCCTTTGACAGCTTGGCTCACATGTGGCTTTAACACGTGTGAGGCATTTCTTTGACAGCTACACTACCCAGCCCTCTGGACACTAAAGACAAAGGGCAGACTTTGTTGAAAGCTCTAGCGTGTGTTGTGTGAAGCCGAGCTCACGTGAGGACGACTTCAAATCAAAGCTGAGCATATGTTAAATGTCAGTGTTGTTCTGACTGGGCGAACAAATTACTGAAGATGTTGATTTACATCCAGACCCTGGGAATGTGATTAGTCTTTCAGGTGTTCCCCTAAAATGTGAGAATCCTAAAATGTTCAAGACCTATGTGATAGTCTGCTCTAGGTGGCGACACTGTCTCTTGTATCTGCTTCATGAATCATGACCGCACACATGGGAGCAGCTACAATCCACCTTAATAACCCACTGACCCCACCTCAGATAGCAGTAGTAGTGTCTGTGTTATTGCTCCTAGATGTAACAGTATGATAGGAAAATATAGTCCGATTGTGGTCTTGCCCCTCTTCTCAGCCAAATGGTGTTATGATATTCATATTATAAAAAAACAACCCTGATGATGGCATCAGTGTAGGCTTAGACTACAAAATACTCAAGCAAGACTCACCCCCCCTGCTGTGGTTTCCTCCCTCGCAATAAAACTTTATTAGCATCTGACAGCACTTGTCTTAACGGCTCCCTCTGACACTGATCTAAACACATATGTACATGGTATTTACCTTCTGGAAAACGGGCGTTTGGCATGGCAGCATCTCCTGCAAGCTTGCGTATATTAAGTTACACACTCCTTTTAACCTTTTAGGGGACTGTGGGGCAAAAAGCTTGCTCTTAGAGCCCCCCCCCCCCCCCCCAACAACCACCCAGTGTGTGTGAACCAGAACACTCGCGGTATTTGAGAAGTTTTATTTTTTCATTTATTTTTTCAGCATTTCTTACAACAATACAGACGTCACAGAATACATAGTTTTACAAACACAAAGCACACCACCACCTTGGTTGCTGCTGCCGTAAAGGGGAAGGGGGGGGGGGGGGTCCGGAGGTTGCCAGTTCAGCCTCGGCCCATCCTTCCTTTCCAGAGACTTCCCTCATCCGTTATAGCTAGAAAGAACCTGCCCTTCAGGGGTTGCCATTTTTGGGACCTTTCCGCAGCGTTTTTAGCAGTATGAGAAAAATAATGGAAAAAGCTTGCTTTTGAGACATGTAGGGGGTGAAAACAAAACGTTTCTAGACTGTGATCTGAGCGTGGTGTTACTCCAACTGAGGAAGCAGAGACGGAGGTGAAAAGAAGAGGCTTGTTCGCAGTAAATCTTGGCCAATGGGAATCTCTCCATTCGAAAAAAGTACCACCGTTTTTCAGGGTCCCTCTGCAGAAAAAAATTGCACCACCTAAATCTTGACCATCTAGTCTCGAGTAGTTTATTATTACTTACATTTTTTATTCCTGTACAGTGAAATAACCGATCTTCAAATGATCTTTTTTTTTCTTCTTAAAAATACAGAAGGCTTCTTTTATTCCAGCCATTTTTTTTCTCCCCAAACATCACTCCCAGACCCTTCCAACTTACAACAGGACTTGATATTATATACTTCTGTGTGTGTGTGTGTGTATGCATGTGTGTACGTGTGTGTGAACTCTATGTCATTTACACCCAACATTGTAAACATACATAGAACTATATTACATGTGCTTGCACTGCATCTTGGAGGGGGAGAAATTTTGGTTTACTTCACTTGAACACCACAAAAGGGAGGAGGAGGAGGAGGGAAGGACTCACGAGGAGAAGAAGAAGAAGAGGTGGTGGAGGAGGAGGAAGAGGAGTGTCAAACTCCTTTTTCTAGGTTGTGAGGTTATTCTCAGTTTGGTTGAAAGCTCAGTTTTAATGGACAGGCCCATTGTTTTTTTAAACTCTCTTAAGCAACATGAGGCATGAAGATTAGAGTGTTCTGTCTCTCTGGGATACTTAAGAAAAAAAAAAAAGCAGCTTTCTGTTGAGTCTTCAGGGTAGAGCCCGTTGTCCAGCACCATCGAAATGTCAAAGAAGAGCTGGAGGACGGGGGAGAAGTCTTTATATTCTATGAAGAAGTTCCTTTCAGGTCCAGCTCCAGCAGCAGGAAGCTCCCCAGTCTCAGCGGGGTCCAGCTGGGTGTTGGGGGGTCTCCACTGACTTAACAGTCTTCCAGTGGTCCATACCCCCGTGTCACATGTACGTCAGTGAAGCGGCGGGAACAAGCCCGTTGGCCAGCGGCCCACCTTTTCTCCATTTTATTTATTTTAAGTTCCGGAGGGAGGCCAAGCTGCCAGCCGGAGAGTCAGTGAGCTCTGCTCAGTCATTCAGTTTCTAGTTTTTAGCCTCCCGAAAAAAAGACAAAAAAACAAAGAGCCAATGGAGTCCCAGAGACAGCCGTCTCGTCTCTGTTCGCTCTCGGAGTTTGTTTTTTTGGAGCTGGCGACCCAGGCCACGGGAGAGAGGGGGAAACCAACGGAGGGGGGGGGGGGGGGGGGGATGTCGTTGAGGGGGGGGAGGAAATCAGGGAGGGAGGAGGAATGGATCAGAACGACGAAGAGGCGCTGGGGGGGAGGGAAGGTGTGTGTGTGTGTGTGTACGTGTGCTCTTTTACAAGTAGACGCGCCGCAGGTCTCCGGGTGAGGTGATGGTGTTGCACTGCGGGCACAGCTTCTTGTTCCCCTGTGATGGATGGAGAGACAAAAGTTAGCATTGTTGCTAAGGAAATGAGTGACTGTTAGAATGAGGTGATATCTAGGTCACTTAACAAATGCATACACTCTGGAATATAGAGCAACTGTCTTAATATTAACAAGAGTTATGCCACGCAGGCATCATTGTGAGTGACGTGATCTTCCGTCTGTATTTCCAGCTGTTGATGAAGGCGAGTGTTGGTCAGACAAAACAAGCCATCTGAAGATGTTACCATGAGCTTTTTGACACTCTATAGACATAGCTCTAGTAGTTATAATACGATATTATTATGATTTTAAACATTTTGCCATATGCCGTGTATTACGACAACACATCACTTTTTTTTTTTTCCAACTGCAAATTATGCAATTTGTCAACATCTGTTTCCTCAAATAAAGATTCACTCGCTTCATCTCACTTCAGTACTTTTTATTGCAGAAAAATAGTTTAGTAAGTCAGACGGACGAACTGGCCAATGCTATCATAAAAAAATGCCATAAATGTTGCATCATGCACCTGACTGACCGAAGTCAGTCAGGTGCAATCCTGCTGAATTCACCCATAACAGCTCCAGGAGAACAAACAGCACCATCTAGTGGACTGAAAAAGCAGTTGTTATCAAGAGGTTTAATATATCATATTAATCATATCTTTAATAAAAGGCTGTGTATGATACCATATTGCCACGCAAAATATCTCTATACTATGCTGTATATGAAATTGTTCCCCCCTCACGCCCAACTTCCTGTTCCCTCTTTGCGATCTTAAACTGGCTTGTTAGCAGCAGAGCACCACCCCCTCCCTACCCCCCTCCGATAGCGTGCCATCTGCATTAAAGCAGCGGGTGATAATAGGCAACACATTCCGACCGGGTGGTCCCTCCGCCACTGTCCTCCACCCGCCTCTTTTCTACCAGTCAGCTCTTTTCTTTTCCGCTGGCCCCTCTCTTTATGTCATGACTTCTCGTGGCCATGATAGAATATGTGGGCTATCTTGGATATCCCACAAGTATCTCTCTGGTATGTGGAGACTTACATCAGTCCACTGTGATGTGTGTAGAAGACGTGTAAAACATACACAGGGTGAGAGCTACGTCTTCCCCCTCAGAGAAACATCTAACAGAATCTAACACGGGTCCAACAGAACGCAGAGATCTCATTACCGGAGAGCCTGAACCCTCCCAATGCCCTGCCGGTCGGTACAAATAATGTGCAGGTTCATGTGACCCCCCCCAAAGGTGTTATGGGCTTCTTTTTCCTGTAAGCCGCTGAATAAAGTCTTTGGAGTGGGTGCGCGGGCTAAGGTGGTCTGAAGGGCGAACGCGTACACACTCGAGAGGGCCGCTGTGGTGCGAGGAGTCCGACGGATCTCACGAGCTCCCGCTAAGAGGATTTGTGGCCCCGATACGGCCTCTTCATGTCTCAAGAGAGAATAAAGACAAGAGGAGGAGGAGGAGAGGAAAGATGGAGGATGTGCTGAAGAGTCGGGGATGGTTTTCTACGGCAGCGTCGGGTGTGGGTTAAAGTTTCTTTTTAATGCTAGTACTGATCGAGTCCCTCTGGTTTTGTTTGCTCCCGGTTTAGCGTGGGCGGGCAAGTGTGCGTGGGCGTGTGCCCATCGCGCTGCGCTGCAGCTGCCTTGCTCATTAAAGCGGCGAGGAGCCGGGCTGACGTTAACTAGATTCCCAGGCATTTACTTTAATCAGCCTGGCCTTCCCGTTTTTGTTGTTTTATAGCTTTCTCCAGGCTATGAGTTTAATGCCACACACACACACACACACACACACACACACACACACACACACACAC